GTTGTAGATATGTATGTTTCTTTTGGTCTTGTGAAGCAATAGCTTGCACGGCACTATAGCAGAACTGGAGATCATGCTAGCTGAGCCATTTGAATAATCATGGTCATTTTCTGGTGGGAGAGGCATTGATTGAGGATTATTTCTTTTGTACATCTTATTATTGATGAGATTCTATTGATTGCTTTACCTTTTGAATTTGAATTGTTCATGAGGTCATTATTTGGCACTTGCTCTGGATGATACATGGATGTCTCCATTTCNGGGCACTGATTGAGGATTATTTCTTTTGCACATCTTATTATTGATGAGATTATATTGATTGCTTTACCTTTTGAATTTGAATTGTTCATGAGGTCATTATTTGGCACTTGCTCTGGATGATACATGGATGTCTCCATTTCGTTTCACTTTTTGTTGTAGCTGCATATTAGTGATTGGGAAATGAGTGGAGTAGGCTTCATTATATACTGCCGGTAGTTGTATTTATGATATCGTCTGTTAACCATTATTGTCTGGGTACTTGCAGTTTGGATACATTGTGCTGACTACTTCTGCTGGCATCATGGACCACGAGGAGGCTAGGAGAAAGAGTGTTGGAGGGAAAGTTCTTGGTTTCTTTTATTAGGCTCTGTTTTGGAGATGAATTCAATTTTTAAGCTTATTCGGAGTTTGTTGGTGCACATTTGAACTTGTTTGCAGCTGGAATAGTTCTATGTTTTGTTTAATTCTGGTTTTCTTCAAAGGCGAGAAGAGTTTGTTACCTGCACTTTTTTAAACAGTAATTGTTTTAAGTCTTAATTTTGGGAAAAAGATTGTTTATCTAGGCTTGGATTGCTTCTCAGTTCTCTTTTGGTAGTAGTACATGCGTGTTTGTTTCTATCTGCAAGCTTAGATATAAATGTCAATTGTATGAGCTAGAACTCGAACTCTGGTAATACTCTGGATTGTTTTGTTTAGTGTTAGTTTCTATAATCGACCACTGAAATTTTGCCTAAAGCTCCCTTGCTTTTATACAGAACAAGCACTTCTCGACAATTAAGGTGTTCCATTAACCTGTTATATTTCAGTGGGAAGCGTAATCGTATGAACTAATGTGCTCAGGGATGTTTGGTTGAATAGTTGATTCATGTTGGAGACAGTCCCCATGCAATGACACTGTATCCAACTATGGATGATACAGTGCGATGGGTGTGTATTACCACAGGCAACCTATAAACAGTGTGATTAGCCAAGCCTTGGTGACTTTGGCTAAACAACAGCATAACAAGGGTACTCCAGCAATGGGAAGCTCCACAGATTAAGCAAAAATCTCTTGGCAACCCCCTCCACTACGATGGATACAGAAACTGTTGGGGCATGTCAGGACTCGAGAGAGACACAAGAAAGGGATATATGAAACTAAAATATTACTTCAGTGCATTGTTTAAGTCATTCAAAAAACAAAAACATGTTGGAAAACGTTGTAAACAACAGAATAGAAGTGGATGAAAAAAATTGTATTTATTTTCAAAATATTAGTCAAAACATAATTAAACATCTTAAAATATTAGTTGAAATATATCTTGAAATATTTTGAAACACATAAAAATATTAAAATTTTGATTCAATTACTGATCCGTTTCGATTTCTTGGAAACAAAAGCATTTTGGTCATTTCAATTGTTTCGAAATTAAGTCTATTAGAAAAAGAAATAAATTAGGATAAGGAGCAAAAATTCAGTACTATATGTCATGGGCCTGGTCTATGTGACACCACTTGGGCCACAACTGCTTTCTCTAATCCAATTTTGAAAGGGTGGGATTATTCTCACCCCTTAAATCTCTTTTTTAATTTCTTTTAATTATTTTATTTTAAACTATTAAGTTCACTTCGTTTATACTCATCCCATTAATTACTAACTTCACCCCATTTATACTTATTCAATTAAACTATTAAATATATGTCAAAAAAACTGAAACAAAAATAGTAATCGAATTCAATATTTCAAGTTGATCTATATTATTTTAAGATGTTGTGAGATTTTTTTGATATATTTTTACCAATGTTTTTTGAATATTTTGAGGTGTTTTAAGAAATTTTGACTAATATTTTAAAAAGAATTATTAATTTTTATTCTGCTTATGCAATATTTTTATACCAAAATAATACACCGAAATAAAATTTTGATCATTACTTATATAATATGTTGGAATAAAAATGAATGTAATTTTTAGTTAGTGAATATAGACGGGATGAGTTTTGTAACTAATGGGGTTAGTGTAGATAAAATGAACATAGTAGTTTGAGGTAATATAATTAAATAAGGGTAAAAAATGAGATTTAAAGGGTGATAATAGCCTTGCTCATTTTGAAATCACATTTACTGCCCCACCCTTCTCCAAAAAAAAAAAAAAACAAACAAAACGTAAGAAAACAAAAAAGTGGAATTACACTTAGAGTTCTTGATGTTTGACACTTAATCATTTAGACTCTCTAATATTTAAAATATTATAAACAGACTACCTAAAATTTGTACGCGTGTAATACTTAGACCCCTGTAGTCAATATATGTTAATAAATTATACTCAGACTCCTAAAGTTTGTAGACGTATAATATTTAGACCCCTTAAATTTAAAATGTTATATTTAAACAAAAAAAATACTTCAATTAAGATAGAATATTAAATATTTTAAATTTTATAATTAAAATTCATGTTCTATTGTATTATTTATTGAAATAAAATCACAAATAAAAATATAATTTTTTTAAAAAAAATTACAATTAGTATACAATTATTCTATCTATTAAAAAATAAATAAAAAATTAAACAAGAGATCTAAGTCATTCATAATAGAAAATAAATTTTACAACCAATTCATGTTATATTATGTCATTTATTAAAATAAAATAAAAAATAAAAATCTAATTTTTTCCTAAAAAATCATAATTAGTATATAATTATACTATTTATCAGAATAAAACTAAAAATCAAAGGTGTCAAAATTATAATTGACACAATATTTTCTAACTTTAATTGGGGTAATTTGATAATTAAATGATCAAATTAAATTCTAATAAATAATATAATTGTATATTAATTATAATGTTTTAGAAAAAAATTAAATTTTATTTGTAATTTTATTTCAACAAATATTATAATAGAACTTGAATTTTAGTTATAAAATTTAAAATATTTGATATTTTATTTTAATTGAAATATTTTTTATCTAAATTTAATATTTTAAATTTGAGTAATTTAAGTATTATATTTTTATAAATTTTAGAGAATTTAAATATAATTTAAAATTTTAAATGTTATGCATGTACAAACTTTAAAGAGTCTTAATGTAATATTTTGAATATCACAAATCTGACTCATTAAGTGACATACATCAACGTGTCTGAGACTCGAGTATAATAATATTCTCAACAGGGCAAAAAAGAACAGTTTCAGGTTCCAGAAAGATGGGAAGAAAAGAATCTATCCGTAAGCCATTGTGAGTGAGGTATCAGTTCAAAAAGTCATTTGCGTTCAAAGCGATTTGGAATTGTCGGTGATAAAGCATTTCTCTCTCACTTTCTCGTAATCTCTGTCTGTTCGCTTAGCAGGTTTTGATTTTTTTTTAATCTTTGCATGCTGTTTTCTTCGTTTGATCTTCGGGTAGTTAATTTTGTTTGCTTTTATTCCGAATTAAGCTCGTTAAATTGTGATCTTGCCGTTAATTTTGTTTGTTAATCTTATATTTTCTTCAATAATCAGCTAATATAATGTGTAGATCATATAGTTGGCTTGAACTGTTGAGTGAGACAATGTTAGGATTTTCATGTTTTCCAATTTATCTTGGTTTAATATGATCCTATTACAGTAATGAAGACATAATAGTTGATCTTGTCGGCGATAGAGCTCCTCCTAGTACCTGTCAATTCTCTCAATCTGTTTTCGCCTCGCAGGTAATGATTTGTATATAGTTTGCATGCTATTTGTCTTTTGGTTGATTCATTAGATCTCCGGTTAATTTTGCTTGGTTTTATTCCCAAGTAAGCTCGTTAAATTTTGGTTTTCATTTTTTGTTACTTCAATTATCATTTAATATGTGTAGATCATTTATTCGTTTGAGCTGTTGAGTGACAATGTTTGGGTTATTCATGTTTTTTCCCCTATTTATCTTGGTTTAATATGATCCTATAATAGCAATCAGACATAACATGGGCTGTTTGAATTTTTGTTTTGGGATTTTTGATTTTTATGAGCTCTCTGTGCTCTTGGTTTTTGATCATTTTCTTTCCGTTTTTATTTTTCTGTTTCTGTAGGTTAAGTTACATTTAATAGAAAATGGATTTACCATTTCTAAGCTTTGAGTTTGTTCGAGGAAGCAATTGGTGAATTTGTGCTTGTTTTGCCTATCAAATAAATTTAAGTTAATTTTGAAGCTTGGGGTTAATCGCAATAGCGTGGTTTAGAGCTGGTTCTAGTGTAGCAAAGCTTGCCATAAGGAGGACTTTGTCACAGGGTGGAATTTATGCAGCCAGAGCACGGGTCATTCCATCTCAAAATCAGTATTTTCATGATTTTATATTCTTTGCATGCTATTTTCTTTGTTTGATTCCTTTGAACTTTAGTTAATTTCTTTGGTTATATTCCAAAGTAAGTTTATTAAATTTTGGTTTTCTTCATTTTTCATTACTCTATCTTTGCTTTGATTCACAGCTAATGTGTGGATCCTGTATTCGTTTGAACTGTTGCATGACAATGTTAGGATTTTCATGTTTTAATATGATCCTATTGTGGCAATGGCGATTTTCATATTTTTATTTTTTTGAGCTCTCTCTAAGCTCTTGGTTTTTGATCCTTTTCTTTCTTTTTTTTTTTTTCCAACCATTCTGTAGGTTAAGCTACGTTTAACAGAAAATGGATGGACGATTTCTAAACTTTGAGTTTGTTCGAGGAAGCAATTGGAGAATTTGGGCTTGCTTTGTGTATCAAATAAATTTAAGTTGATTTTGAAGATTGGGGTTAATAGCAATGGGGTGGTTTAGAGCTGGTTCTAGTGTAGCGAAGCTTGCCATGAGGAGGACTTTGTCACAGGGTGGTAGAACTTATGCAGCAAGAGCACTAGTCATTCCATCTGAAAATCGGTATCTTCATACGAGTGTTTTTAGATCGAAGGCACAATCTGCACCTGTCCCTCGACCTGTTCCACTCTCTAGGTTAACCGATAGTTTCTTGGATGGGACAAGCAGTGTGTACCTAGAGGAGCTTCAGAGGGCTTGGGAGCAAGACCCAACTAGTGTAGACGAATCCTGGGACAATTTCTTTAGGAACTTTGTTGGCCAGGCGGTTACATCACCTGGAATTTCTGGCCAAACTATTCAAGAGAGTATGCGGTTGCTTTTGCTTGTGAGAGCTTACCAGGTCAATGGTCACATGAAAGCCAACTTGGACCCATTGGCTTTGGAACCGAGGGAAATTCCTGAGGATTTAGACCCAGCTCTTTATGGCTTCACAGAAGCAGATCTTGATCGAGAATTTTACCTTGGTGTTTGGCAGATGTCTGGGTTTTTATCAGAGAACCGTCCTGTGCAAACCCTTAGGTCAGTGTTAACAAGGCTCGAACAGGCTTACTGCAGACGTATTGGGTATGAGTACATGCACATTCCTGATCGGGACAAATGTAATTGGTTGCGGGACAGGATTGAGACTCCAACAGCAATGCAATACAACCGGCAGCGGTGTGAAGTTATGCTGGACAGGCTCATCTGGAGCACTCAATTTGAGAACTTTTTGGCCACTAAGTGGGCTGCAGCCAAGCGGTTTGGGCTTGAAGGTGCCGAGACATTGATTCCTGGCATGAAGGAGATGTTTGATAGGGCTGCTGATCTTGGGGTTGAGAGCATAGTTATTGGAATGTCACACAGAGGGAGATTGAATGTTCTGAGTAATGTTGTTCGGAAGCCACTGCATCAAATCTTTAGTGAGTTTAGCGGTGGTACAAAGCCGGTGGAGGAGGTTGGGCTTTACACAGGAACAGGCGATGTCAAGTATCACTTGGGAACTTCTTATGATCGTCCAACTAGGGGTGGCAAGAGAATTCACTTGTCTTTGGTTGCAAATCCAAGCCACTTGGAAGCTGTGGATCCGGTTGTGGTTGGCAAAACTAGAGCGAAACAGTATTACTCTGGTGATCTGGATAGAACAAAGAATATGGGTGTTCTGCTTCATGGGGATGGTAGCTTTGCAGGACAAGGTGTAGTCTATGAGACCCTGCATCTTAGTGGTCTTCCAAATTACACTACTGGTGGGACTATACACATTGTGGTGAATAATCAAGTTGCCTTCACTACTGATCCAAAATCGGGAAGATCTTCACAGTATTGTACTGATGCCGCTAAAGCCTTAAATGCTCCCATTTTTCATGTCAATGGTGATGATATTGAGGCAGTGGTTCATGTATGTGAACTTGCAGCAGAGTGGCGTCAGACATTCCACTCAGATGTTGTGGTTGACATAGTTTGTTATCGTCGATTTGGGCACAATGAAATCGATGAGCCATCTTTTACCCAACCCAAAATGTATCAGGTTAGCCATATTGTATTCTTTAAGTTCTACACAACTTGCTGTCTTGGTAAAGAGTTAAGGCACCAGCTTGCTGAATATTAGTTGCCCTTTAGAATTTTTCCCACTATGCTTTTAGCATTGTTCTCCATATTTTGGAGTTTTCGATTTCTGTAGGTATTAATTTCTCCCTTTTCTGACCTGGATGTGTAACTAGGTGATTCGTAAGCATCCATCAGCACTTGAGATTTACCAAAAGAAACTTTTAGCATCTGGTCAGGTTACAAAAGAAGACATTGATAGGATACAAAACATGGTGAGTACAATTCTGAACAAGGAATTCTTGGCTAGCAAAGATTATGTCCCAAAAGAAAGGGACTGGCTTTCAGCTTATTGGTCTGGATTTAAGTCACCTGAACAGCTTTCACGTATCAGGAACACTGGGTATGTTGTGAGTGTTTATCTATTCATAACCTAAATACTTGTATGTCTATGCTTGAAATCTAATTCTGTTCAACAGGGTAAAACCTGAGATATTGAAGAATGTTGGGAAAGCAATTGCAATGCTTCCAGATAATTTTAAGGCTCATAGAGCAATAAAGAAGATATTTGCAGATCGTGCAAAGATGATTGAAACCGGGGAAGGCATTGACTGGGCAGTAGCAGAAGCACTTGCTTTTGCTACATTACTTGTAGAAGGAAATCATGTCAGATTGAGCGGTCAGGATGTTGAGAGAGGTACTTTTAGTCATCGGCATGCTGTAGTTCATGATCAGGAAACTGGGACGAAGTACTGTCCTTTGGACCATGTAATGATGAACCAAAATGAGGAGATGTTTACGGTAAGCAACAGGTAAGTTTTGGTCGGATTTCTGCTTCATCATGCATTTGACGTTCAAATATGTCACAAAATTCCCCTTTTATGAATGCTTTTGACTGTGGTTATCCTCTCCTTTGTGTTCGGAGGTTTACTGATCCTGTTTGTTTGAATGCCTGAAGTTTACATTCGGTAACAGTGTGATGTCACTATGTAGTATGTACTGTAAAATTTTTACCATTAACACATCATTGCCATATAAGTAATAAAAGCCAGAATTGAAGCGTGCATCCAGATTCTGTGTTGTAACTGAATGAGACATATCGTATAATTATGTTTAGCTTAACCCTGGGCAGTTTGTTTTACATGTAAATTGCCCCTGAATAATATGAATGTCTTTTAGATTGACTGTACAATCAGGAATGTTATGGATTCTTGATGCCTTTTAGATTGAAGGTCGAACATGATTAGAGATTCAGGCCATAGATTTGATGACGATGACTCAGCCGACTCAGGGCTGGTGTATAGAGATCTCAGATGACTTGGCCGAGTCGTAGCAGTATCGGCCAAGTCGTATTGGTATGAGTTGGTACTTTGAATTCATGATATCTCGCAAGTTCATTTGGTTTCCTTGATATAAAAATGTTACCTTAAGAAGATGGGATGTTTTTGTCTTCTTGTTTTTCTCTCCTCTTACCAGGAAAAGTTTCTAATTCCGCTGATAACCTTGATTATTGTGGCTTATGTTTGTATGATAATCTAATCCTTACAAAAGCGTATGGTAGTCTGATCCTTACACCAATTGTGATTGGTCCAACCGTCGTAGTTGATGTCAGCGAGAAATTGTTGATGGCCAATTGATTTGACTTAAAAAGTGGAACAATGTGTTCTTGTTATGCCCTAATTCTGGAACACTTTGTTCTTGTTATGCCCTAATTTGTGGTTAACTTGCAATAAAGAAAGTGTCTACCTCTTAGTTAAGTTTACATCCAAACTACAATAGTGGTACAAAACTTTGTATGCTGCATTTATCTAGTGAATGTTGTGCTTTGTTGTCAAAATTTATCCCTATTCAAGACACCATAACCTCATAAACATTTTTGTTGCTATCCAGCTCTCTTTCAGAGTTTGGTGTTCTGGGGTTTGAACTGGGTTATTCAATGGAAAATCCAAATTCATTGGTGCTGTGGGAATCTCAATTTGGTGATTTTGCGAATGAGGCTCAAGTGATATTTGATCAGTTTCTGAGTAGTGGAGAGGCCAAGTGGTTGCGCCAAATTGGGTTAGTGGTGTTGCTACCTCATGGTTATGATGGCCAGGGCCCTGAACATTCAAGTGCACGTTTGGAGCGCTTCCTTCAGGTATTATCTTTCCATAGAATTATGTTCTTAGGTTCCTTTGTTAACAATTCACCATAGAATCATGTTCTTATGCTATAAAATTTGATGGCAGATGAGTGATGATAATCCCTACGTTATACCAGAGATGGATCCAACATTTCGGACGCAGATCCAGGAATGTAATTGGCAGGTTGTCAATGTAACCACTCCAGCAAATTATTTTCACGTTCTGAGACGTCAGGTGACTGCACCAACCTGGGGTTTACAACCCTTTTAAGCTTCTAGAAAAATTTATTTATTTATTCTTTGTCTCCACATGTTGCTTATTCATTTTTCAGATACACCGGGAATTCCGTAAGCCTCTCATTGTGATGTCTCCAAAGAATTTGCTTCGTCACAAGGATTGCAAATCAAATTTGTCTGAGTTTGACGATGTCGAGGGCCACCCAGGTTTTGACAAACAAGGTACCAGATTTAAGCGCCTTATAAAGGACCAGAATTACCACTCAGATCTCGAGGCAGGGATCAGGCGCTTGGTTCTTTGCTCTGGAAAGGCATGTAACATTCTTTCAGTGCATTTGCCCCTGTAGTTTTATTTTAGTCCATGTGCATGAGAATTCTGTCCATGTGCTTGTCAGCATGCCTGTCCTTACAATATGCACACAGGGGATTAGAGAGAGAACATTATCCATTCTATTGAATTGAGTATCAAGCTATGGTGTGTCCTGTGGTAGGTCTTTCTCTATAGGTCATATTAACCTTACAAACCTCCATAGATTCAATTATTTGCGGACCATTTGTTCAGGTTTATTATGAGCTTGATGAAGAAAGGAAGAAAGTCAATGGCAACGACATTGCAATATGTCGAGTGGAACAGCTTTGCCCCTTCCCATACAACCTCATACAGCGTGAACTGAAGCGTTACCCAAGTATGCATCTCAAACTTGCAACTAAAGCGAAGTCCACAGTAACTATCTTGTATTACAGAGAGTGGTCTGTTTGCTTTTTGAGTAAAAGTATTGCTTGAAAAACAGATGAAATTCTATGTCTTTTTGGGCATAGTAAAGTTCATAATAACAGTGTATGAAAGATCAGTCTCCAACACTCTTTATAGTCACCAGGTAAAATTCACCTTGACAGTGTATCAAAGATCAGTTTCCAAAACTCCTGTTTGTGCCCATGAATATCGTCTTACGCATCAATATAATTTCGCAAACCGACAAAGGGTTGATGATGCATCATTCAGAAGTTTAATTGCCTTTAAAAAATGTCATACCAGCCCGTTGATATAAATGTTTATTTACAGTGGACCTAGAAGTGACCATCATGTAAATTTTATATTTGTTCCTTTACGGGCACTAGTATGCTGTTATCGTGTAGCTAACTGTTTATTTCCTTACTGTTTTTTTCCAATCTTTCAGATGCAGAGATTGTTTGGTGTCAGGAAGAGCCAATGAACATGGGTGCATACAATTACATTGCACCCCGCCTTTCTACTGCCATGAAAGCCCTGAGCAGAGGTAATATCGATGACATCAAGTATGTTGGCCGGGCTCCATCTGCTGCACCAGCCACTGGTTTCTATCAGGTTCATGTGAAAGAGCGGACTGAACTCGTTCAAACAGCGATGCAGAGCGACCCAATTAAGTATCCTTATTGAAGCCTGGTAAGCAGTCCTAATAGTTTCTTTAACAGAGGCAATCATATGGTAGAAAATGCTGTTGCTTATTGTTTGTTCTTGTCTGAACTGTGCTTCCAGATTTGTAAAATAGCTTAGATGTGTGTAAATATAGTACAATTTCAAGTGGGATTCGTTATTTTTCTGCCCCATGTTATATCTGTATAAAATGTTTTTTATTCCCAAGAAATAAAAAAGAAACATAAGAAGGTTTTTGAGCTTCATTTGTTTAGTTTCAAAAATGATTTTTGTGTATACGTGCACGCTAGGTTTTGGGGGGTTTTGTTTTTATTTTAAAAAATACATGCCTAATATGAAAGAAAAAAAAATTAGGAGGGAACATGTGCCCACCCTAGTCCAAGGGTGGCTCCGCCCTTGAGTAACTCTTAGACGTGACTACGAGGGTCTCTCTTATTGTGAAATGTCCGATTTGAGTCATATTTATTAATCTGAAAGAGTAGGTTGTCACTATAACACCATCAAAGTTAAATAATAAATCACATTGCTCCTCATAAATCGAACTCTATTTAATAACTACATGATAGTCAAATCAATTTTAAATGAAATTCGATTTATGTTAAGACTAAAAGAAACACAAATTTATGTTGACCGATAAAGGACGATCATAAGGTGATAGGTTTTGCGTGGTGGTGGGCGGTCATAGAACGACCATCAATTAGTTTGCACTGGTGTTTTTTGTTACCATATGTCCATTTTTGCGTCATGACACACTAGCTGTTTTAAGTGTATAACGACTTCAAGAAGATTTTCTCTTAATCATTTAACCAATGGGTGACATGAAAGCGATTCCACAGCACAAAATAACTTGTGTGGTTTATAATTTGCGTATCTTGATTTGTGTATGTGCCAAATAAAAGCGCTTGAACATGTGAAAGTATGAGATGGATGGCATTTTTGTTGTTGCTCCACTATTAAAGCCTATCAAAAAGGTTGGGTGTGACTCGAATTTTTATTGGTTCGAATTTAATGACAAATATAATAATTTATTTTTATGATTTATATTGAAGAATTAAAGTTTTATTTTGACGTATTGTTTCAGTTACTTAAGAAACGGAATTGTTTTAAAAAGTTTCGAAAACGTTTCGATATGTTTTAGAAACTTAATGAAAAAAAATTAAAAAATTAAGAATTATTTTTTTAAAATATTGGTCGAAATATATCAAAGTATATTAAAAGTTGAAATATTTTAAAACATGTCGAACAATTGTGCAAATGCATTGAAATATTACAAAAACATCTCGAAACAATATAGAATACTTCAAAATATTAGAATTTTGATTTCATCACTATTTCGTTTCGATTTCCTTGGAAACGGAAACGTTTCAAACGTTTCGATCATTTCAAAACGAAATTTTATTCTGTGTTCATATTAAATATGTTTTCGATTTTATATGGACAACACAATTAAGTTAAAACATTTTCGAAAAATTTACATATAAATTCTAACTCAATTTTATTAATAATGACTCGGGATCCACCGCAATTTATAAACATGTATATATAAAAAAAGTTTATTTCCAACTCCGAACGCTCCCGACTACATCTCTCTACTGGCCCGAACGCTCCCGACCAGATCGTCTCTGCAAGACCGAACGCTTCTGACCACATCTCTCTGCTTTAATTTCTAGCCACTACTTGTAATACATCATATCTACTTTTGCAGCTACGAATGGAACTTGATCTTGTGTTTCCGGAGTCTACTCCACTGGGGAAGCTTTAAGAAAAAAATATACGAAAACAGTACAAAACTCGCTGTGGGTTCACATCGATTCGCTGGAAAAGAATTTCAAACCATGCATTAATGCAATCTGATTAGGATAAAGAAATCGACAAGCTGGTTTAATGTAAATCTTGTCCAGGTAGTGTGGGTTGACATCATAAGAAATTGATTTTCTGGATTTATTTGTCTGTCGGATCGAATTTTGATTCAAATCTGATTAACTGCATATAAATTGATATATATATATATATATTTTTGGATAATTCTTATCCGAATCTGTTATATTATATCAAACATGTTTAGATTTGGATATGAATATATCTTAGGAAGCATGGATACAAATACGAGAGACGGATATTATACAATACGAAAAAAAAACTCTAAAAAATAGAATATAAGTATCGCTATGATACGTCTGTAAAAGCGTATATCTTATATTTATTCTATTATGTAATTACTTGATAATTATAATTTTTAGCAATTTTTTAACAATAATAAACAACATGAACAATTTTTTATTTTTAAAAAGTGATCTATTGTCTCCCTATAACAAATCTACAAAGTGAACGTGATTAATTAAAGAAATAAGAACCAATATTTAAATAGATTGTTTTCTTGGAGTGTTTGTTTCTAAGATTATAGTATAATGAATTCATTTATACTCTTTAGACATGTAATTAAAACTAAAGATCAAATATATTGCAAAGAAATATCCGCAAAATATCTACAAGATATCCATATATTTTATTTATTTTTATATACATTTGGTATATTTTTGGTAGATATCCTCGAGTATCTTATCCGATACGAATACGTTAACCTTAACAAAATGTACTTCATAACATATATTCAATCCAATTATAATCTAATCCAAAATATTTATAGATAAATATTGAAGAAATTTAATTAAAAGTTAGATGTAATTTGTTAAAACCTAGTTAAATTAAGTTTATCATATGCGATCAAATTTGAGTTTTTAACACATTATTTGAATTTGAATTTAGATCAATCAAAATCTAATCGAAACTCAATCTATTGACAGCCCAATTGCAACTTTTTCTACCTGCATTTGTCCTTCTAATCCTGGTCTTTTCATTTCTCTGAATGATGGACTGAATTGAAAATCTAAAAAAATATCACTTTTTGTAGTCGAATCTAAACTCATTTATTATTAGATTGGTTAGAATTTAATAGCTATATCCTATCATTTCTAGTGTTTTAATGACACAAGCACTTTTATAGGAACCATGAAGAAGGGAAATAGAATATAATGCCATGGACTATTTTGCCTCTAACTTGTCCAATCCAACATCATATTTGATTTATAAATTAACTTTTGACCAATTTTAAATAATTTTTTCTTACATGCAATTTTTAAAAATATTGTAATTTCATATCCTCTAAACAGGTGTTCAAAAGTTACGAAAACAATTAAAAATTAACTCAAGTTTTGATTAATTAGTTATTTTATTATTAGCTATTAAATAATCTTAGTCCAAATAAGATAATCCGTTAGTTAGTTTATTATTTAAATTAGTTTTCTTGTTGGAGAAGACATTTTGGTCTTCTTGAGTGAGAGACAGAGAGAGACTAACAAGACAATTCAACTATTTACATTAGTTATCCTGACTAGCAAAAAAAATCCCA